TTGATTTTAGTTTAGTGCACGGTGAGAAACACGGGTCTAGTTTTAGCCTTCAGCATGTGGAAAACCAGTTTTTCCAGCACCACAAAGAATGGCTATTATCAAGAAATCAACCAATAACAAATGCTGGCAGGGCTTTATGGAAAAAGAAATCCATTTTCACTGTTGGTGGGCATACAGACCGGTGCAACCACTATGGAAATCAGTGCGGAGATTCCTCAAAAAACTAGGACTAGAGGTTCCATTTGACCTAGATGTCCCCCTTCTTGGTATATTCCCAAAAGAATTAAAAGGATCATACCACAGTGATATATGCACACCCATGTTCATAGCAGCACAGTTTGTAATAAATAAATCTTGGAAACAACCCAAATGCCCATCAACCGTTGAATAAAGATGTTTTTCTTTTATACAATGGAGTAATATTCAGCCATAAAGAAGGATAAAATTGAGACATTTATAGCTAAACGGATGCACCTAGAGGCCATATTCTTAAGTGAAATAAATTGGACACATGTATAAATATTGCATTGTTTCTTTGGTGTGAGAAAGTGAAAGTGTAAATAAGGACCATAATGCATAATAGATAATGTGAAATGGAAAGAAAATGTTCAAATGTGAAGGGATATATGGGAGAGGGGAGAGGGAAAGGAAGGAAAGAAAAAGAAAAAAATGAGAAAAGAAAGATAAAATCAAACAAAGCTCTTGTAAGTAAGAAGGGGAAGCAGGTAGGAGGGAGGGGAAGAAAATGGGAAAAAAATAAGATCAAGATATATCATGTAGAGGTACAAATTCCATATGATGAATGTGATCATAATGGATATCTAAACTGTATCAATAAACTTAATTAATGATGAAAACAGAACAAACTACCTATACTCAGTTATAGAGATGAATGTTCAAAGCATTATGTTGAGTGAAAGGTACTAGAAATAGGAGAGTACATTCCATATGATTCCATTTATTTGAAGTTCTACAACAGATGAAGGTAGTATAAGTTTATAGAAATAACCTGAGTGGCTACTGATAGGAAGTGGCTGAGAAAAGGGACAGAAAACTTTCTGGACTGATAGAAATGTTCATTTCACATTCATTAAATCATATGTAATTACACTCTTAAGGCCTGCACATTTTCTTATGTGTAAATTTTTCCTCTAATATTTTAAAGTGTGTAAATCAGAATATAAGCATAATGAAGACAGGAACTTTGTTTTGTATGATGCTATGACTTAGGACCTAGCCAAAGGCCAGGGCAATTGAACAGGAGCTCAATAAATATTGGAGGAAAAAAAGAACCAGGACTTGGCAACTATATGCATCAGTGGTTGTCAAAGCATAATGAAGATTTGGACTCTCAGCCTTACATAAGAAAGATGAGTCTTGTATTTGAAACCTGTTATTATTAATCCACTTCCTGGGTTACTAAGAATCTGATCAGCTACAAGAGTTTTGAAATAAGAAAATGACTATTTAAACACAGGTTTTTCTGTCTGTAATACCTGTGCTTTCTCTGTTTTTTCTTCTCTTTCCATTTCATATAGTTAGCTTCTAGGATTAAGGAACAAATTGCCTAAAAGTGATGGCATATGTCCATGCAGAATTATATCCATTAGGCTGGATAATAATATATGTTTATCTTGATCCAAGTGTTCATTTCCAGCAGACAGTTGAATACAGAGTCTTAGGAGAAAAGTATTGGATGTACAAGTGGATTTTGGCTCATACAGTTTGACACATACTAGCCTTCCAGTAAATATTTGTCAATGAGTAAATAAATGTGAAATTGGAAGTCTCTATAATGCAATTCAGGGCATATCCTTCCAGTATTTTTCTGTGCCTATATATTTTAAGCATAATTAGAATCAATTTCTGGAATTTATTCTTTGAAAGTCATGTTTACTTCTATTTTAAGAAATTAATGTAATTGTATTGGAGAAAATTCAGAAAGTAGCTATGACATGCCACCATGTGACCAAAGACAGAACTACAGCACAAGTTTAGTTGACTAGAGAATGTGATAACATAGACAAGGGAAGCTTTTCAGCCAGGACTCGCAAAAGTTCAATGCTTCTGCTCAGATATAAGATGGAAAAGGAAACAAATGATGATTGGAAGAGCCAACAGCTCTTGGCTAAAGAGAAAGAAGTGAAAATACACCGTTTTTACTTTCTTGATTGTTTAAAGTACCATATATTCATTGAAAAAAATTAAAACTCGGGCTGGGGATTTAGCTCAGTGGCACCGCATCTGCCTGCAAGTGTAAGGTCCTGAGTTTGATCCCCAGTACCACAAAAAAAAGAAAGAAAAAAATTAAAACTGGAAATACAGAGAACAAAGTTGAAGTATAAATTTTCAATAATAACATAACCAAAAAATATTCACTTCAAATTTACTGATATGTTTGTTGACCTGTGTGTGAGTGTGTGTGTGTGTGTGTGTGTGTGTGTGTACTGCAACTAGCTTTTTCATGAAACAGTGTGTCAGGAACAACTTCTCTGTGTCAATGATACAGATTTTTGTGATTTTGGTGATTAAGAGCAGTAGGATTTTCTTCATGATTTCAAATTTTCTGGCAGGTACCTAAACATAATGAAAATGTGGAGGGTTTTTTAAATTTGCTTGTTCAGTTTTTTTCTTCATCTTGCAATAGAGAAATAGCACCAGGGTGCATAAACAATATAAATACATATAGAAGTCAGTTATTACTTGTAAAATTCCAAATGAATGAGTTACTCTATTTGGCTTGAATAGAAGTTACTTCTGGGCCCGGGGATTTAGCTCAGTGGTTTCACCACCTGCCTTGCAAGCACAAGGACCCGAGTTCGATCGCTGGTACCAAAAAAAAAAAAAAAGAAAGAAAGAAAGAAGTTACTTCTATACAAAAGAGAATGTTGAGTGAAAGAAATATGGCTTGGGTGAGGCCTTCCACGTACTGCCTGAGCACCCCAACTCTGAAAGCCAGAAAGCTGGATTTGTCCTGTTTGCTAAAACTGGCACAGTGACCCTTGGAACCTGATCCCACTCCAGCTTAACTCCAGCCCTAGCAGCATCCTTCAGAACGCCACAAACTTGAGGAGCAGTCTGGAGGCATGAAGAGCTCCCAAAACGGCATCATATAGTGAAAAAAGAACAATCAAAGGCATAGGTTCTGGTTTGTGAGATGTTTTGTGAGATGATCACAAAAAGTGGATGTAGAATTTGATACTTTTTACTCATATTGAAAGATAGAAAATTTCATATTATATCCACTTCTTTGGAATTTAAAAAAAAATCTTTATTTTGGGCTGGGGATTTAGCTCAGTGGTTCCAGTGTCTGCCTCACAAGCGCGAGGTCCCGAGTTCAATCCCCAGTACCAAAAAAAAACCCAACTTTGTTAACAGGAAATTTAAATTATCTGCACAGATCTGTCAATCATTTGCCTTCAAAACTTCAAACTTTAAAATAAATGCTTTCATAGGCCTTCTATTTGCTAAGTTTTGGTAAGCATTCACCAATATTTCCTTCTAATTATTTCATGGGTCCATATGTATAATATTGGGAAGCATATTGTATATACCAGTGGTCCGCATTCTTCAGTGTGTATTATAAACACCCAGAGAATTTTGTTAGCTATGTTGCTTTTACAGCCCATTTCCAGAGTGTGGATCAGTGAGTGTTTTGTGGGTCCCAGAAATCCACATTTTCAAAATGCTCTCCAGCTAAATATGATGCAGTAACACAAGATATTGATGTTAAACATTTGTGAGTAAAATCCATGTTTCTTTTTGTAATTTCTTGTCATAAATTTAGAGAAATCAAGACTTGCAGAAGATTATTTAGTAAGATAGTTTGGACAAATCTACTGACTCATAATAACCTGGATTCCTAGTAATAATATTTGAAAATCAAATATTAAAATATGATGTGTGAAGCATCCACAAGTATGTGGGGATATGTGGAAGAAAAGATAGTCTGCTTTACAAGGACAATGTAATACTTAACGTTGATATAGTAGCCATTCTATTCCAAGTACATTTATCATATTTTATGGTCTTTGAAAGTTTTTGTGGTTTTTTCCCACATTTCAACAGGGGATGGAATGGAGGAATGGGGGTTGTTTCTTAGATAGATACACACACACACACACACACACACACACGCCTATTTTAGTCTTACAAAACATTTTTACATGTTTCAGGAGTAACAGGATAAAGAGCAGGGGGCTGTTCCCCTTAGGTCTGTTCTTTATATCACTTTGTGCAATTTATACATCTCCCCTGAGTCTCCTGAACCAGTAAGGCAATCCTGGCATGGGCCTTCACTGAGAGATCATCTCAGAAGAGAAGGAGGACAATATCTTACTCCTGAAACTCAAGAGCATCAACCATTGAATACAGCATGCTGTCTTTTACTCAAACCTGTACCCAGGTTCAACTTCCAAATGAATTTACCACATATGACTCTTTTGGATATGAATGATCCTGTGATTGAAAGCAGAAGAGATTTCTTTGCTAAGCACTATGCAAGACACCATAGCCCCAACAACCCTAGGGCAGTCCCAGCTATGTTAAGTGTCATTAAAAAGCAAAGAGAGGTTTAAGAAGACAGTGGGAATTCAACTCGGGACTCTAGGAATCTCAGTAGGGTTTGTCCCTTAAGGCCTCCAGGGCACCAGCACAGGTGGGGGCCAGCAGAGTAAAGGATCCTGCAAAAGAAGCACCTATGGCCAATAAGTATGGATGGACCCAGAAGAGAAGACAAGGGTAGGCCACGACAGCAGAGGACTGGCATGGGAACCCATACATCTACCTACTGGACTTGCTCATGTGCACAGGTTGAGTTATACCAGGGCCCCTCTTAAATGACTGATGGATGCTTCCACAGCAAGTTGGGGTCCTGTACACACAGGTTCAACAAGGTGCCACCAAACACAACTGTGAATTCATAGTGGATCATCTCTGCCCTACAGCAGCCCTGTGAAACAAATATTTTCCCCATGAAAAGACTGAGTCTTAAGCAAGTGTATCTTTCAATATTGCCAGTTTTATTCCTCTGGCTAAGAGATGCAGAGGTAATTTGAGATTTACATTTCTTTTTTATAGTTCTTTTATCAAGAATTTAAGTGCCCCCATTGCCCTTAAGCTGGTTGCAAATTATTTTTTGACTTATAAAAAAATTCTCAACTTTTTGTGTGAGATATGTGTTCATTAAAAAAATACACATAAGCAAAAAGTAAAAAAACAAAACTTCACACCACAAAGAAATTTGCGCAGTTAGGTTTCTGAGATGCGTATGTATGTATGTACATTGTGCACGCACACACAATTTGGAATTTTATCCTATATATGTGAGCTGGTATTAAATATGCTGCTTGTAACTTATCATGTTTCACTGTATAACAGAATGAACATATTTCCATGCATATGTGTGAAACTTTCCAATTGAAAAATAAATCAGGAAAACGGGGCAAACTTCAAAATCCAATGAGATGCTGGTAACAAGAAAACCATCAAAAATAAAATACCACCAGGTAATTAAAAGTAAAACCAAGGTAAAAGATTCATCAGAAAATGCTACCAGGAAGAAAGCAAGGGCCAGATTTTAATATCACACAAAAAAGAATTCAAGGCCTGAAGCACACAGGATAAGGACGGCTGCGTGAATGTCTTTGTTTCCAATGCATCATCACAAACTTGTTTCTTACTCTTCTTATCTCTTCCCTAAGCCTTTCCAACTCATCTACTCCTCTTATCATTTCTTCAGGGTCCACATGCCTAACTGGAATGTCCTCCTTAAATTCCTGGCCAGTTTGAGCAGGCCCTCCTCTAAGGTTGCCTTCTGCTCTCTGGTTTATACCTTCTTCAGAAGGCTGAGGATTTTCTTCTCCCTCCTGTAGTGCATCTTCTGATGATCGATGTTCCTCTGCCTCTGGCATATTCTCTGGTTTTCCTTCATTTTCTTCGCAAGACTTTTGCATGTTGAGTATTTTTTATTTTCTTTTCAAACAAATTAATCCTAGGAAACAAGGAAACAAAATTACTAGGTGCCAGACAAACAGCCTGTAGTGACTTTTTTCAGATTCAGGCCCTGAACTGTCAAGTTTTCCAATCAGAGAAGGCTAGATCCTCAAGCTCATAACTCCCCTCACTCCATCTCCCTTCCCTCCTCCCTCTCACTTCAGCTCCATCTTCTCTCCTCCAGCTCCAGCCCACCATTTTCCCAGCAGGCCTGGCTTTACAAGCCTCTCCCAGCACTGTAATGCGAGCAGCTCAGGAGCTATTAACTCTTGTCTTGCCAGGGGTCTCCCTTGCTCCCGTCCTTTCTGCCTTTCCCAAGTCATCCCAAACTCCAGCCTTTTACCTGAGAGGGTCCAGTCTTGGGCTTTCCCTCCCCCTTTCATGCCTAATCAGCCTTCCCTTCCCTCACCGCATTTCAGCAGCAGGATCTGCACAGGCCTCCGGTCCTTAATCCGGAGGGGAGGAGGCGGCGGCGCCCCGGGGATGTGCTTTGGTGTCATCCAGACTTCCACCTCCCACCCAAAGGAACCTGAGGCAATAGTACTCTTACACTGACCTGCAAGGATCCAGGGAATTTTCCTCCCTCTTCCCTCACCTCGATTTGTGTAGCAACCAAAAGACCAAGAGTCCTGCAGACAGGTATGCTCGCTTGGTGAGCCCTCCAGTACCTGGATCAAAGGGTCCCTTTTACAATTATAGGTCTTGTTGGTCTAAAGTTTCCCAGTCTTTATTACTTTCCACCTTTTACGGCAACCCCGCCCTCTGTGCTCACCTTTTGAAGCAAGTTCCCCCCCCCCCCGATTTTGTGTGTCTGTCTCTCTCTCTCTCTGTCTCTCTCTCCCTCTTCCTATTCCTCTCCCCCTCCCCTTTCTCTTCCTCCCCCTCACTCTCCCTCTCCAATTAGTTACCTTTCTCCTTCACCACCCCACCCCCCACCAAATTTCCGGCACAAAATGGAAGTTTGGCGGAACAGCAGTGTGGGGAAAACAGGACCTGCCCCGCTTGTTTTCTGCTCTCTGCCTTCTCCACCCCAGGGTCTCCGAATGAGCGTCCACCTTTACACTACCTGAAAGGATACGGGGCACTTTCTTTCTTCTCTAGCAAAACGGAGCAGCCACAGGGAAACAGGGCCCGCACTACACGGATTTCTGCACACGTCGACTCTTTGTCACGTGAGGGTGGCGTCATCAATGAGCTCCGGTCCTCAATTACCCCTCCCCTTAGCACAGCAGCCCGCCCCTACATTCCCTCCACTTGACACAGTCAATCTTTTTTTCCCGTGTTTGCCAATCAGAGACAATAAAACTGGTAACTTCACCCTGGAGTATCTAATCATTTTTCTCCAATTACCAGCTAAAAGCAGCCCTTTTTAGGGTTAATAGACCATTTCTTATTCTTTAAGAAATCGTCTCTTTCTATTGGCTCCCAATACGCCCACCTCCCCTCCCCCAAAACCCAAGGCCCAACATTTCTCTTGCTATCCTATCCTGCATTAAAATGAGTGAAGGTGGTAGATGGGGAGAGGGGCTGTGAGAAAAGAATCTAGGAGTAAGTGGGATTTTACTAGCGCTCTTGAATAGTTTTGTGTTTTAAACAATTACTGTACTATTCAAAATGACTTTAAAAGGGATACCTCACAAGCAATATGCAATACTTAATGTAGAGGACAAATTAGCTTAGTTAAATCAATTTTTAAGACCAGAAAAGGATTTCTAATGGCTACAAATGAAATTGGAGTATTTATAACATATCGATGTGTTAGAATTTTAAAATCTTACTCAAAAAGCATTTTTTGAAAAAGATTCCTAAATTAATCTGTAGGATATCTGTTTCTACCTTTTAGCAATTTTGCATAAATAATCTGTTATTTTTTCCTTTTTGGCTGAATTCAAGTAATTGTGTATTAGATATCTGACTTTTTTTCCCCCTCTCAGCACTGAAAATGAAATCCAAGGACTTGCACTGAGCTACATCCACCCCCTCTCCCTTTTACCGTTTTTAGACAGGGCTCTATAATTTGCCCAGGTGGGACTCGAACTTGCAATTCTTCTGCCTCAGTGCTGCAATTACAGGCGTGGGCCACCATGCCTGACAATAGATATCTGACCATTTCATCGATGACTGCTAGTGACTTCCACTTGGGCTTTACAGGAGTGCTTCACACAGACCTCCTTGCCTCTTAAGCATCTGTAGGATCCAATGTCTTTGTTAATCATATGAATCCGCTGAAAAGCCTAGTTTCCACCTAACAGACTTTGAGCATCATTGCTGTAAGAAAGCAGTACCAGTATTAGTCTAAAGAAACTCATCTCCCACCTCAGAATTCACTGGTACCTGGAGGTGTAGTGGTGCCAGTGGAGCCAGCTGGAGAATCAAGAAGAGGAAGTATAGCAAGGTCTTCCATCTAGGGTGATCACAGCAGGTTGCCTCAACCAACAATAGAACCCACCAGGGAGAATAAAATGGAAGTAAAATCTATTTTTCTGGCTTAATGTTTTATAATTTATATTTAAGTATGAAGAATTTATTTCACTGATGAAAGGTACATTGTCTACTATTTGAGTGAGTTTTTAATATAAATGTAACAAGCAGATTATAAAGACAGCACCATCTACTACCAAATATTTCCATTCTTTCAGTTGTTACCATTTAATGGGGAGAAATTCTGAACTTTCTTATGAATATGAAAATGACTTTCTGTTTGTGTGTATAATTTTATGCACTTTAATTACCACAATCAGAATATAATTCAGTCACCTCCAAATTCCCTCATGTTACCCTTTTGTAGTCATATCTTACTTCCTTCCCTAAACTCTGGCAATTGCTGTTCTATTCCCTATTACTATAGCTTTCTCTTTTTCAGAATGCATACAAATGATTTCATACAGTAGGTAATATTTTGAGACTGACTTCTTTAACTCAGCATAATGCCCTGGACATCCATTTAAGTTGTTGTATGCATCAGTAGTTAATCTTTCTCTTTTTACTGAATAGTATTCTGTTTTTGGGATACTCCACAATTCATTCATTCACCTGCTGAAGGACATATGAGTTATTCTAAGTGCTGAACAATATGAAGAAAGCTCTTATATACATTAACATATAGGTTTAGGTCCTTATCATTTCATATCTGGACTACCTGCCTCTTTCCAATTGATCTTACACTTTACTATCAAATTAAACTTCACAGTTCTATGCTTTCAACTCTGTCTCCTGCCCATAGACCTTCCTTACCCACACAGTAAATTGTACACTTTTCATTCTCACATTAAATATCCATCAGAATTGAGCCCCAGGATACATGTTTCCAACAGACTCATGAATTTCTTTGCCTCACTCTCTGTGTTCCAAGCATTCCTCATCCATCCCTCTAATTGTCCTTACATGCTAGTCCCTTCCCGCCAATGGCCATCCTTGTTATCCTAGATCCTGGTCACCCTCATCCTTAGAGGCCCGTACTCATCAACTAGTCACTTCAGATGGAAGTGATCTTTCCTTTTCATATTTCTGCTCCACATGAGGTCTGCAATTCCTGTGTAGCCCTTAGCTAATATTGCCCAGTGCCTTTCTCCCCTTCCCTATCTCTCTGTCTCTCTGTCTTTGTCTGTCTCTGCAGTGTGTGTATATGTGTGTCGGGGGACACTTAATCACGCAGATGCCCAAATATGGATTGGGGAAGGGGATTAGTAATCTAACTCTCATGCTTCTGTAGTGACTCTTTTAATGTTAACCAGTGTGTTTCCCAGAAATTTCGGTGTTTCGGAGTTTGCTGAAACCAGTAATGTAGCTCAGTGGGAGAACACTGGCCTAGTATGCTTAAGGCCTGAGCTTGATCCCTAGCACAAATAAAAAGAAAAAAAAAGAAAGAAAAGGCTTTTTCAGCTCACAGATGAACCTTTCTACCAGCACAAAAATTGAAGTAGAAATTTCATCATTCTCTTCTCCATTATTCTTATATGTAATTATAGCAAGTCTAATACTACTTTTATGGTGCTACTGGCAGAGCATATTAACCCTGTTGTCCTAAATACTCACAAGAGAGATCAATAAGTTCACTGATGCATACCTGACAAAGAACCAAGCAATGTAGACTTTCATCTTCATCCTTGTCCCTGGGCAATTTCAGTACAACAGTGTTAATACTCGGCTACCTTTGAAATTAAGTTAATCACAGTAAATTTTAAATATAAGTAAAATTTTAAGATATTGTATTAGCTTACAATTAAAGAAGTTAATTTTTTTAAAGTGAAGAAAAATGTTTATACATCAAATTTGACAATGAAATTATGGGTTCTGGAGAGCAGACACTCTGGGCCTCTCAGCCAATCCTGTTTTTGAGCAACAAGCAGGCACTAAGGATGAGTCCAAAGCCCAGAGTTCTCCAGGTTATGTGAGAGGAGGAGAAAAGAGGCTCCATTTTACCATTCAGGTGTGTCCATATACACTTATACAAAAATGAATAAGAAATTCTTATATAAGACTATGATATCCAGAAGAGTGTTTTCTATATTCCTTTTTCTAAGTCACTTCCATAGTCTTGAATTCTGAGACTTTAATTACAGCAACTCTTCCTACATATTTCTTCATTGATGTTTTAAATTTTTATTTTATTTATTTATTTATTTATTTATTTGGTACCGGGGATCAAACTCGGGACCTTGAGCTTGCAAGGCAGGCGGCGGAACCACTGAGCTAAGTCCCTGGCCCTGATGTTTTTAATTTTTAAATCGACATTAATAGTTATACATATTTATGGGTTACAGTGTCATGTTTTAAGGTCATACCTTAAGGTGTGATGTTTTAAGGTCGTACCAATACATGTGTACACTGTATAGTAATCAATGTGATGTCATAATATAGGCACACATTATATAATGAGCAAATTGGTAATTAGAAAATCTGTCACCTCAAATATTTATCATTACTTTTTGGTGAGAAAATTTAAAATTCATTCTTCTAGATATTTTAAATTATTCAATAAATTATTGTTAACTATAGCCACCTTACTGTGGAATAGAACACCACAACCAATTCCTCCTATCAAATCATAACTTTGTACCATTGACCAACTCTCCCCATCCTTCCTTCCACCTTCATTGCTGTTTAAAAGCACATCCTACAGTCTTCTCTATCACTTCTCTAGCACATTATGTATGGCTCAAAAACATCCTACCCAGCATAGAAAAATCTGCCCCAGATCCAAAGGTTTAGCATAGTATATACTCAAGCACCCTCCATCTAAGATGATTTGCCAGTTCAGAATAGAAGGAGATTCGGCACGTTTTATCATTTTGGACAATTGAGGGTGGTTCACCTAGGTTTTTGTTCAGGTGGTACACACAGAACCTAGGTTGATTTCCTCATAGGTTGTTTCTGTTCTAAAAACAATAGCTGTTATACCATTCCTATCATCCTATTCCCAGACATAATGCTATGTTCTGCAACTTTAGAATAGACACATTTCACAAATTCTGCAAACTGTTGAGAAAAACCATTGGCCACATCCACGTGAATGAACTTAACTTGAAGCACTTCTTCTGTAATCTTCATTATCTCTTCCATATAAGTCTATCATTGCCTGGACTCAGAGCTGAATGCTGCGCACATTGTTAATTGTGGCAAAGTTTATAGTTAACCAAAGCATAATGCTTATGGTTATGACCCAGCACCTAAAGTGCTGGGTCAAAACCACTACCATTTCAACATTTCAAGTGAATTATGCTTAGACTTTCATTTCCAGTACTAGAGATTGAAATGTGTTGCATCCCCAGCTCTTTTTTATTTTTTGTTTTGAGACAGGCAGGCTCTCACTAACTCACCAAGTTGCCTAGGCTGGCTTGAACTTGTGATCCTCCTGCCTCAACCTTCCAGAGTGCCTGGATTACAGACATACAACACTACACCTAGCACTGAGATTTTAATATGTTTAAGATTCACTTCAGAACGATTCTTGAGATTGCTTTGTGGGATGATGGGGAGACATGCCCTAACTATGCCTTGGCTTGAGCTAGGCAAGTTTTTCCTGTGCCAAAGCACAATTGTTGGATTAGAAAGTGCCTTTGCTATAGGTTGAGTGCCGAAAAAAATTAAATTTATAAGGCTTCACTGACCTCTTGATTGTCCATTAGTTCCCCATGCTGCATAATTCTTCAGACACTGTAGTCACCCATCTTTACATTTTCATCCAGTTTCGTTTGCTTTCTAC